CATTTTCGTTCAATAGGAACTCATCGTGAACGAAAAGCAAAACGTGCTAACGAAACTTACGTTGATTATGATTCAACAAGTGAAGAATCCGATGCTGAAGATGAAGAGGAAATAAAAACAACAGAAGAAAGTGATGTAGAAGTCGAATCAGAAGATAGTGGAGATAATGATATTCTACCAAAAGTATGTTTAAATTGTGTTTTGTTTTATCTAACCTTTCGAAGTCTTCGCTTGAGTTTTATTCGAACAGATTACAGAGAATTTTGATCTGAATGTTAGTACTTAAGTGAATAGAGGCAAATAGTACACCCGCGAGCAACTATCCGTAGACAAGCAAATTCAGAATGTTTATCTTTTAAATTTTATTTCTAGACATATTGGCCTGAAGAACCACCTGATCATTTATCACGTCTTGAAAGTAAATTAAATTCTGTATTTTATTTATGTTTCATTAACCAATTTAGTTGCTGATGATTCAACAACAACAACAAATGAGATAAATCCAAAAGTAAAAGCATTAAATCGAAATGGTTGTTATCGGTAAAACAAAAATAAGAAATGAAACCATTTATATATTATTTTTTTATTTAGAAATTTTGTTTATTATATGGATAAACGTTCTTATCAAGTTAAATATGATGGATTAGCAAGAACATTAATTGAACGTGTTGCACCAGTTCTTGTTAAGACTCGTCTAGCTTTATTACAAACAGATGATCGACGTAAAATAAAACTCGAACAAGTTCTTGCAGGTTCACCATTATGTGATTTTCAAACTTCACAGATAAATAAATCTGAATCAAAAAATAATCTTAATAATGATGATACAGATGATAAACTAGTTGATACAGATAATCCAGTTGATGAAAATTCAATAGCAGATATCAATATTGGAGAATTAACAATTGAAAAATGGCTTTTTCATGTATTAAAATCATGTCCAACAATAAAAACAATATGTTCACATACAGATGATATATTAAAACAAAATTGGCTTGAATTACATCAACAATTAGGTTTACCATCTTTATTACCATTATATTTTTTTATTATTAATGTTTTACTTGATGTTATGAATGAATGTTTAAAACTTTATAATAGACCTTATATGAATAATGATACGATTGAAATTGATTCTCTTTGTCGACAACAAGTAAAAATAAACGAAAAAAAATTTATGTACATATTTTCTCTTTATTTCAGCTTGTTCGTGAAGCAAAACTTGTATTAAGGTTTGTTTTAAAGTATTATGATAAAAAATCTGATCGTTTATGTTTTTCTAAATATTCTGTTAGAGATGCATTAGCTACTCGTTTATATAGTGTACGTATGATGGAACAATTTATGTCTCAACGTGAAATAACTCACGAACTTATGGAATTCGATGAAAATACTATTAAACTTTATACGGTTTGTTGGATAGATTTTTTGTTCATATAAATATTTTCATATTATCTTAGCATTATAAACAATTTTTAAGTACAGTTTGTATTAATCGAACATTTGGTATACATGATAGTGATAATATGATTATGAATAATGAACCAAATATTGATTATTATTATTATGTTGATGAAGAAACATCAGAATTAATTAAAGAATATTATTTTGCTAGAGATTTAACAGTTACATTAGGAAATCGAACAGAAATTCGTGATCTATGTAATGAATTTTGGTATATAGTAACATTTAAAGAAAAAAAGATTTTTAATAATAATATTTTCTTTTTCTTTTCAATATTTATAGTGCTTTAGCATTAAGAATATTAGCACAATTGAAAGAAGAATTAAATGGTAAAACAGAAGAATATTATCAAGTATTTGCAATTGATATGAATGATAAATTAGGACTTAATGATGGATCATATTCAGCCGAGTAAGAAAGAAAAACAAATATCTTCTTAAAATGTACATTTCATTATCTAAATTTTGATAGTGAGTCAATGGTTCTTCATTCACTATTGCTTGAATTTCGAAGAATGAATATTATTTCTCATAGATTATTTCGTAATTATCTATCTAATTTATCGTCATAGAACAAAACTTCATTTGAATATTTCTAGAGATACTTTTTCCATCGAATCATACGGTATTGTTTCGAAATCCGGAAAAAAGATACAGCAGTTTATTTAACAAAAAAGCATGTACAAGAAAGAAGAGAAATCATTTGATTTGAAGAGAAGTGATGTAGTTCACTTTTTACTAGCCACCAATAAGGAAAGCCCTATGAGAGTTCAGGTTCAGTTCTTTCGAACTGGAAGTGTCACATTCCTATTAGCAAGAGTATTGATTTTAGCTAAAAGGTGTGGGTGTAAATAAAGCATGGACACAACACCCACACTCTCAAGGTGCGCATCTGTGTATATTTGCTAATAGAAGCACAGTAAAGCAGAATAGCACCCGGCAGACGACAATCATACACTTTTATGAAAAAATATCATCATTCTCTTCTGTTAGGACGATATCAGAAATTTTCCGGATTCCAAGACATATCCGAATCATACTAAACAGTCTACTTTAGTTCTTATCGAAACTTGTATAAAATAATTCACCTTATGAGAAATATTTATTAGACAAAAAAAAACTGAGAGATTAAATCTTAGTATGATAAACTTATTCTTAGAATTGTTAAAATAATTTATCTCAATATTGTAATCATATTTAATAGCGTAACTTCTGATACAATCAAACAACCATCATTTCATACATCAGCAAGTGTTCCACCTGAACTATATCATAATGACTCAATGGTTTCTGATACAGCTTCATCTTTTTCTGATCAAAAGAAGTAATTTAAATTAAAAAAAAACATCTATTTGATTATACTGATTACTTTCGAATTTTATTTATTATATAGAAACGATATAATTTCAAGTACACGTGAATTTCGTCGACATTTTGATATAATCAAACAACGAACAACACGTGTTTGTCAATTAGCTAAAACACTTGTTGATGTAAATTTTCTTAAATTAATTTTAATTTTTGTATTGTATTCTTATTCATTAAGGATTTCTCGATTGCAATCGAATTTAACTGTTTCAATCATATAGAATTATGGCAACAACTTCGTCAAAGTTCTTACGTTCAAGTTAAAATATATTTTAATAAAAATGTAAAAAAAAACAATTTTTTTGTCTACTAATTAAACAATATATGTGTATCTTTTTTTAATTAGAAAGCAGATGATTTTGATAATTTCTATATTTTTGCTCCACCATGGTTATCAACGGATAAAAATCAAGTTGAAAAAATTTTAAGTATTATATGTACTCAACAATTACCAATAGATGAAATAAATCGAACAAATAAAGATGATCATCCATGTTATATTGTATTTTTACCAAAGAAAAGTTTTCAACGACAAAAAATTCAATGGTCTGGAGAAATTTTATTTATTCAACCAAGTGAAAGTACAAAATTAGCTTTAAATTCTACAGAACTTGATTCATTACATTTGGTTATAAATCGATCGGATCATTGGGAACATATAGCAAAATTATTTCAATCACATGTTGGATTAACAACTGTGGAACTCATTAGAAAATTACCACGTGATGAAGATATTCGTTCGACTTTTGATCAATTACCTGTATGTTATTTTATTGAAATATGAATATGAAATCTGGCTATTTCTTTTTCATAGGAACATATTGAAAAATTAAGTATTGAAATAACAAATCTTGTTCGAACATTAAATACAATTTGGGATCAAGATTCAACAAAAATTTATCTTACAGAAATTGTTAAATTTGATGAACGTACAATTGAATCAAAACTAGTTGATCTTGTTTTATATGTTTATAATTCTGGTTTCGATCTTTTTCGTCTTTTATATGATCTTATACCAACTATATCATCAAATAATGATGAAATACTCGAAAAATTTGTTCGAACAATGAATGAATTCTTCTGTGAATGGTGTAAATGTGTTACAAAAAAATTTAAATATATATCAGGACAACAAGCTCGAACAGCTAGATATAAAGTATTTAGGTAAAATACAAACATAAGGATATTTGAAATATACAGTAGAATCGCGTGATAGTGGATATCCGAGTGTCCGTTTTTTACAGGTTTGTCATGGAGGGGTCTATATATGATTAGAGTATTCTGAAAAGAAGGTTTCCTTCTCAAGATATCAAAGCTCTAAAAATAGCTTATATACTACAAGAGACACTACAACTTTGATATCTCGAGAAGGTAACCTCCTTTTCAACTGAGATTTTTAGGATATGCTACTTATATATAGACCTCACTATGGTCTATCTTTTGTACAAAGTTCAAACTCCAAAAAAGATTAATTAGTTGACAATATTCCCTCGTCGCATGCATTGATAAGTATGCACAATTTAGATTCTCTCTGTGTCGCTTATCATCTTCTTTTATTGTTCAATAACCCATTCTATCTATTCGCAATTTCATTCAGTATTATTTTTTATGATTTTTATTACTCGTAGAGTCAGCTTGTCCATAGACATGCACTGAATCGTTTTTACCTAGATAAGGAAAGAAACATTTGATTGTTAAAGCTAGATTGCCTTTTATATGAATAGTACAATTTTTTTTAATATTATTCGTAATTAGTCAGATAAATTGAAGATATCCAATATCTATTTCTTCTTCTTCTTCTGCATATTCATTAGTGAATGTTTGCGATCAGTTTTCTAAAAGCATTTCCATCTAAAGCACTGTGCAATAGTTTTTCGGTCGATGCATTAATCCACTATGAGATGTTCTTCAGCCATGATGTTGCTCTTCGGCCGGGTCTTCTTTTTTCTGCTATTTTACCTTCAAGTATTAATTGCAGTAGTTGATAAATATCTATTTGCTAATACAAATCGAGCAAGTGTTCACTTTCGAAAAGTTCAACCACTGCAAAAACAGTTCAAAAGGAGAGGTTACCAATAGGTTTTCATATAAAGAGATTATAAATAGTATTGCAAAGATTTAGTTCACAGTGCTACAAATAGTTGTATCCATCGTCGATATTCTTTTTTTTTCAATTTAGACCAAAATGGCTTTCTCCTGGCATGGTTTTTCTTCGATTTTTGGCAAAATCAACTCATTTACAATTACTGTCAGATGAAGATTATAAAAAATTAACTAAAGAAATGCCTGCTGCTCTTGATGCTTTATATGGAAATGTGAAAGGTAATCCTAATTCACCAACGACTAAAGGTAAATTTTATTTAAAAAAAATCTTTTTTTTTGTTTCCCAAAACAAATTTTGTTTTTCTCCAAAAAAAGAGACTAGTTTAATAAATGATCGTCTCTATCAAAATTTACGCACTGGTAAGCAAATAAAATAAAAGCTTCTCGTAGATTTGTTTGATTTGATTATATTTTGAATTTGTTGGAACTATATTTGAATTTTCTTTTTTTTCTTTTACAGTTCGTTCCAATAGTGTTTCATCAATATCAATAAATTTAGGTCGACCACGAGTTTCTTCAAGTACAAGTAAAGAACTTTCTTCCTTTCTTTTTTTTGATTCATTTCTATAATCAAAAAACATAATTATATTATTTAAGATGTACATCGACGAAATGAAAGTGGTGGTCGTTATAATGAACTAATAACTTCAACATTCTTAACACCTCGTCAACGTATTACACAAAAAATAAAAGATCTTGAAAATAATTTAGAAAAAAAATTTCGTGAACGAAAACAAATTGGACAAATTTTTGATACAACATCATTAACAAGTGGAACTATTCCAGATCCTGTTATATCATTAAAAACACGTAATATTGATTTTCCATGGCGTCGTGGAACCCGTATTGGACAAGGTGGTGCTGGTGTTGCATTTCGTGCAATTAATGCTTCAAATGGATCTATTGTATGTATGAAAGAAATTCAGTTATCATCAATTGCTTCTCGATCCTTACCAAATGCATATCCTGATAAACTTCGACGTATTGCAAAAGAAATCGATATGATTATGTCTATAAATCATCCAAATATCGTACGATATTTTGGTATTGAAAAATATAAAGTAAGACAAAAAAATTTCTTCGTATTTATTTTCTTTTTTTTTCTTTAGAGAACAATTTATATTTGTATGGAATATTGTTTATCGACAGTAAATGAATTTCTGAATGATATAAGATCATTTCAAAAGCGTGCACGTATAAAACGAAAGAATAGTATTTTATGGAGTGATTCAAGTGAGCAAGATGAAAATTTTAGTACATATGACGCTCTTTTAACGTCTTCACTTGATGTTAATGAAAATGTTCGTGGTTTTGTTAAACAATTATTAAATGCTTTAATGGTATTACATGAAAATAGTATTGTTCATTGTGATGTTAAAGGTGATAATATATTTATTGCAAATGAAGATGGAAAATATATCGTTAAATTAGGTGTAAGTTTATGAAAATAAACAAAAAAATATGTTTTTTTTGTTTAATTTTTTAAAGGATTTTAATTTATCTCATCGACTTGAACTTGAATCACCATCATCAGATGGCAGTGATTCACGTAGTACACAAAAAGGAACGATATGTAAGTCATTTGATTGAATACTATGGAAGGAGTACATACTGCTCAATATATTTTTATGAGTTATATATTCAGTTTGCAAAAAACACTTGGCCTAATAATTTTTCACAAAGAATTCAGACATTTCTAGTATGACTGGATAGTCCATAGGAAATACTATATAGTTTTCACCGGTCTTTATCAAAAAATAACAAATATAAGTACTGTAGTTGGAAGCTTGAAAAATAATTACATTTTGTTTTCATTTTTTAGAAACAGGTCGATACACTCCTTTGAACAATCAATCTTAAAAGTTTAATAGATTGCTCGAGTAGACAGTTTCTTACCTGGATCGTATATTTCTCTGACAATTGTTATCTATTTTAAGAGCTTGCTTAATGTCACGTTTCCAATATTATACAAGAAATTTGATAGAATCTCCTAGTTATTAAAATCTGAAATTTAAGCTCATTCCAATGGTAGAATTGCTTTTGTAGTGTGCCGACCGATGAAATGGGTGTTATTTATAGTTAGAATAATAGAAGATCTGAGAAGATGGATAGATATCTTTTTGATAGGATATTATTTACAAAATAGAAATATGATTTCGTCATATGTCCTTAAGTATTTGTTTATTCAGATTATGAGATTTACACTAAGGCTCACAATGTGAATGAGATAGATTATTACGATAATTATTAAATAATAAAGATAAAAACCTCGAGCTAATTACCTGACAGAATAAAAATGAAAAAGTTGCATCAATAGAATTCAACGAAAAAACATGCTCATTCTGATACTTATGATATTTAGACGTGTTTAACTGGTAATAGAAAAAATGCACTTTTGTAGAATTAATTCTACTTTGAACTCATAGAGAATTATTCTTTATGTATATAATATTCTATGAATTTGCAAATGGCTTATATCGAGTTCTTCTATTAACGGAAGTTTATAGAGATCTAATTATTTCTATGAATCTTGGTATGACATTCTTTGTTTGAATAAACAAATGTCAAAGGACATCTGATGGAATCATATTCATCATTTGTCAATAATATGCTATCAAAACATATCTTTCTATCTTATCAAATAAATATAAATAGCATAACAAAAATTTATGGAATGTACAACATAGATCCATTTAAAATAAATATTCTTTGAGTTTTCATAATTACTAGAATATATTTTTATTTTATTAGATTTTAAACCTCCAGAATCTGAATATGTTTATAAATCTGATATATGGGCACTTGGTTGTACAATAATAGAAATGTTAACTGGCAAAGTATGAGCTTTAAAGAAGTTTCGAAAGAAATGAATTTTTTCTTGTTTTAGTTACCATGGACAAATGTAACACGTCCACCGGAAGATCAAATTTATATTCAAAATCAATTATTAGCGAAAAAAGGACCACCCATTCCAGAAGAATTAAGAGATCAAAATGAAGCATATGAATTTATTGAATTATGTCTAAAACCTGATCTCGAAGAACGTCGATCAGCTAGAGAATTACTTAATCATCCATATCCACGAGTTCGAATTGGTATAACAATAGAATCTTTTTTCTTTCTTCATTTCTATATGAATATTTATTCCTATTAATTAGGTTCTTAGCATCTCAAATTCATCGACAAATAACTAATAATGATTATTGAACTATTAAGTCAGATGATTGATTTTTAATATTATCTATATTTTAAAAGTTTTTATTCGTAGAACGTAGAAAAGTTTAAGAAAAATAATGCTTCAATTTTTTTTACCGTGTGATATATTTGTCAAAGCTATTTATTTTAATTAAATACTAATAAAAAACAGTTTTATTAATGTAAAATAAAGTGATTATTATAAATTGATGAATATAATTCAATTTTCTACAAAATATTCTCTAAAGGCAAAACTTAGAATTTCATATTTGTTAAGTTATACGATTTTATACGTTCAACAAGTGTTGAACAAGTTCTTTTCTGTTTATATAATAAACTTGTTGACTGTATATTTTTCATTGACCTTATAATTTTGATTCAAAAAAATAAATATTTATTTATAACTTCAATCAAGCTGAATAAAAAGAAAATGAGTGCATTATCTTTTTTTATAATTTTCTAAATGAATATGATTTTTTATTCATAGAAATATTCTTTTTCAAAAAAGTTATTCATGCTTTAGAGCAAAAGAACACAACTAGTGAGATTTATATTCTACAATAGTATGTCAACATGACAAAATCTATTTAGAAACATTGTTTTTAGTATTTAATTTGATCGTTAAGAGTACGATAATAAGTAATGACTTTGATTTCATAAGTGTAAAACAAAATTACTGTAAATAAAAACCGACTTTTATATGTCATAAAATTCAAGCAAATTTTTAATAACTTATCTTAGTCTCATGAGAATTGAAATAGAAATAATCCTTAGCAAACAACTAGTTCAAAAATAAAATATGTCAGAATTATTTAGAAAAATTAATCTTCTATTTTAATCGTTTATTTAATTGTTTTTAATTCTATATTTGTTTATGTTAAAAAAAATCAAAACAAAAAACTAACGATAAAAATAGAAACTCGTATTAGTAATTCTTGTTGTTAAATTTAATAAATAATGACTAGTAATTTCGTCGAGACGCATCGTCTAACGGGAATGTTTTTATGCATAAATAAAAAAGAACCTCGAAAGTTTTTTTTCATAATTACTTCTGAGAAAAAAATAAACATATACATGATATACAATTAACGTTATCGTATAACCATAAACCAAATGTTCCTATCAGATCATTAATGTTTATCTCATAGTTAACAAAACAAAAAACAATACAGTTATAAACAATTTAGATGAAAGAACTAAAAATAGATTGTTTTCTTGAAAATTATAATAACGGAAGTTGCCACAGAGAGAAAAAAAGAGAGGAGTAGTTGATACATTAAGAAAACTAAAATTAACATTATCACAGGAACTTTCAAGCATGTATGTATCATTTCGAAACAACTGATAATAAAGTTGATCTTATTGTTTGTTTTGCATGATTTATAACTATACATGTATCTAATGAAATACTATAGTTTCCTGTTAGGTGAACCTAATGAATAATAAAAATCATGATGTAAAACTAGACGATAAGAACGAATAGAAAACGATTATCGTGATATTTTTGCTGATGTTCCTATCAACTTTATAGTTCAAGCATGTAATATAGCTTAAGATCACATTATGAAAGTAAATTGATCTTTTTGTTTTTCATATTTTAAGTACAAATTAAGTCATAAATGATGAATTCGACCTTTATTGTAGATTTATTCTAATTACAAGATTTTCAACATATAACAAAACAAATATACATATGATAAAATATGTTGAAGCATATATAAATATTTATTCTTATAATTATGCAAATGACTGTTACACTCGGAAATAGTTATATGATAAAAAAGAAATGATGTTATTAAAGTTAATAGTTGTATTATTCATACGAAGTGTTTTACGGAATATTACACGTAATATTATCATGTGTATCGACGCATGCCTATGGGAATGGCTACAGAATGAATCAATAAGACAAATATGGTCTGATATAGAATGAAAGAACGATAAGACCTAGTAAAGAAAAAGAATAGATGTAACAAGAAAATGACATACAAAAATAAGAAAGAAGACGCTGGGAAAATCGATACTCTACATTTTTTTCTTCTTATTTTTATAATTCTATTAAACTATTTTAATAAACTATATATGATATTATTCAAATTGCGTCGTTCTTTCAATTATCGTCTAACAAAGTCCATGAAGAACATTTATCAGGTGATAGTCTTCTCATTTATGTAAGTTATTTCATGTAAATAATTTAATCGTCTCTTAAGTAATGTTCTAAGAAGATAAGTTTTTATAAATAATTAGACATGATAATGTCATGAGTTGTAGTCGTCGATAAAATGACGTATTTACCTACATATGAATAATCTAAGTTTATATTTTAACGAAAGAATATCAATACATTTTAGAAATAAGAGACAGATATATTCAGAAAATTGTATTGCATCATATTTGGATATTTGAGAAAAAAAATTCTTCTAGTAATTAGTTTTTTTTTGTATTTTAGTAATAACCCTTCACTTTGATATAAAGATGAATAATAATATTTTTATTTTTATGACCAGTTTATACTTAGACTTTCCTTTTTGAAATCTTGTAATCAACTTTTTGACAGTAATAATAAAACAAATGTATTATATAAATAACTGATTCGTCCACTTGTTAGTTTCTTCATATCCTTATATAATAAGTACTTAAACAACAACAATGTTTTATTATTTAAAAATAACAAAATATACTCTATCACATAGAAATAAAATAATTCTAGTAGTACTTTCTTTTATATTTATAAAATCTCACTATAGTAAATAAGCATTTTTCTTTTTCTTTCTATTTTTATTATAATATTAATGTATACATATTTAAATATATATATATATTCAGTAAAGCATGTTGAGTTTCTTAATTATAAAAGATTTACAAGTAGTTTTACATGATAAAGAACTAGATATATTTTCATTCATGAGAGCAAAAAAGAAACTATCTATAGTCTCATCTCGACTCTTATTTCCAATTAGAATTATTTCAAGGTATTTTATCTTGAGTTAAATAAACAGTAACTAGTGAAGCGTTAATTAAGATGGAGTACGCATGCGATATGAACTACTATATTGTTAGGACTTAAAATGCATGAAATAGTTCTAGAAAAAATTATAACGCACCACACGTTGTATATAACTAGAGGATAGAATGAGATTTATTTGCAACGCATGTTGACGATGAAGATCTTTTGTGCATCTATTTAGCTATTCATTGTCTATTCATACATAATGAGAATAGCGATGTTACCGAAGATCTATCTAGTTGTTTTTTGTTCGGAGAAGCAAAATCAATTAATTTTTATATTCTTAAGAATGAATCAGAAGAAGAAAACAAAATTCTAAATATAGATTTCTGACGTTGTCTATCTCATTATTTTTCTTTTTTGAATGAAAATGTTTGGTTTCACGATTCATTATCTAACTATTTTCTAATAAAGATCAAGAGACAAAGAAAAAAAAGAAATTTTCTTTTATTTGTACTAGTGGCATTTTTGTTTTTTCCCCATAGTCTTCGCCTATGTGAGTTTTATAAGGTACGAGCAATAGTCGATTATTTAATTAATTTTCTTACTGTCAATATATTTTTGATAGAAGAACGCCTAGTGATATATACATACTTACAGTAAGTCGTTATTTTATTTTTTGAGAGCTTTGTATTAAACCCATTGACCTAGAAAATAATTATTTGTTTTTATATGCATAGATATATTCTAATATATACATATTTATATATGTAACTACCATAGTCAAATCATGTATCGATTGTTTTGATGAGAATTTTATTTCATCAATCATATTAACTATGTGTCATAATATAAGATTACTTAATTCGTTTAATAAAGATTAATTATTGAAATGATATTATTATAAACATGATTTATACAAGTCAGGCAAGTGTTTTGTCTAAGAAATAAATATTGTAAAGTGTATAAAAAAGAAGCTTTATTTAGCATGTTTATGTTAATTAAATAAAAGAATTTTGATGATGAGAAACAGAATTATAGTTTTTTAATAGGCAATATTATTTTCATATTGAATAGTAGACATAATCAAGATGAAGGCGAGTCTTAATAAAACAATTTTTAATGTCACGTCATATTATAAAATATGCAGCTGGAAGATGCTTGTTATTTGTCATCGATTTTTTTTCTCATATTTTATCAATCTTATATAAAATAGATGTATGCTTTTTTCAGTCTTCTCTTTTTTATCTAACGTCGTTAGTTCCCCTGTGAAAATGTTCGGTTTCTCAGATCAATGACGTACATTTATAAACATTTTATAGTTATTTATTACTAAGACATAAAAGAAAATAAGAGAAATATGTCATTTTTTATATCGATAAGAATGAAAAAGGAGTCATTTTTATATAATGATAGATCCATTGTCACTAATCGAACGTGTATATACAGACTATGTTAGTTATTATTACCGTTATTCTATCTCTTTAGTCAGATGTGATAATTACTGACAATTAAGTCATGAACATAAAAATATATTTATTATAACTGCGCCTTGATCTATTTATTGAATTAATAGTTTTGTTACAATTTCTAGGCATTATATAATATGTAAGACTAATGGTGACGTCTTAGTATACAGGAGACATGCTATTGACAGTCGACAAACATTTTTAAGATAAGACGGAGTTAAGCTTAAATGCCTCAGGATGTTTGTCTTTATTTTTCCCTTTCTAAATAACAATTATTTTTCTTTCCTGTTTCATAAAAAACTTTTATTTTATATTAAAAATTTTTATTTTTCTGTTATTTTTGTTCATTTGATAGAGTGCACAAAGTAGAGCTTCAAATTAGTTAATAACAAATTTGATTCATACACTACAAAACCGGATATTCTTAAAATAATTATTTATTTTTTTTAGAGTAAATTACTTGGTTAATCAATCTTATTTTACAGTTAAATTATAGGTATGAATTAGAGCAGTGCCGAGTCGAGTTTTTTAATTACGATTACAACTCCGACTCCGATTCCGAGAAGAAATTCTAGTTAATTCCGGCTCCGAAAAGCTTTTTTGTAGTGTAGCGATAAATAGAAAGACTAAGCATTGCGAATGAACAAAATTATAAGCAAATATGATGTTGTTAAGTTATAGAACTTCTTTCTTTTCATTTTTTTAGTAGAAAACAGTGAAAAACATCTTTCTGAGAAAGAAACAAACAATTTAATTAGTCTTCCAATTGGAGTCCGATATTGACTCCGAAAAATATTTTTTCGCGATTCCGACTCCGACACAGTCGGAATCGAGTTTCGGTGAGCGGTGCAGTGCTCTAGTATGAATATATTTTTACCTTCGAACATCAATGAATTAACCTACAAAAAAATTATCTGCATCGTATATTATGTAAAATTTATTTTTAATTATACATATACGATTGTCTTCTATAATTAAAAAAGTAAAGTATATATTCAGATTTTATATAAAATATAACTTCATAAGAAATAAATAATTAGTATTTTTTTTTGTCAAGTTGATGTTTTACTAGAAAATATCTTTATATTTTTTAAATGTTCCTATATTTAACAAAGCTAATTTTATACCTACTTGTCATTTTTTTTCTTCTTCTCTTGCAGAAGAGATTTATTTATAAAACAAAGGACTTATAAATACTCATTTTTTGTAGATGTTAAAATAATGTAATTAATTCGAACTTATGAATTTCAATCAAACAAAGTTTGATCGTGATTGTTCTCAAATTGGTGAATTTTCTCAATCTATTTTAACAACAGAATTTCGTTTTTCACCTACTATAACAATAATAATATATATTGCTTATTTATTACCATTTTGTTTTGGTGTATTTGGTAATATAAGTGTATGTCTTATATTTTTCCAACAAAAAAAATTACGTTCGATTACAAACACATTTTTAATGAACTTATGTATGTCAAAATTTGTTTTTCTAAGATAGAATTTTGTTTACTAAAGTATTATTTTTATCTAGGTTTAAATGATTTAATCGTCTTATGTGTTTCAATTCCAATGACATTATCCAATGCTTTACTTAAACACTGGATATTTGGTTCATTTCTTTGTAAAATTGTTCATTTTACTCCAACAGTAACAGCACTTGTATCAACATTTACTGTTGCTGTTATAGCAGTTGAACGATGGTTTTTTATTGTTAATAAACAAAAATTTGATCGTCGTTGTACCATAATAACATTAATTTTACTTTGGCTTGTATCGATAATAATAGCATTACCAGAATTTATTTCAAGACAATTGGAAGAATTTGTTCCACATGCAGTTTTACGACAAATGATGGGAAATAATACATCATTCAACCATAAAATGTATAGTAATAATAATACAAATTCATTCATGAATTATGATATGATTAAATCTCCATGTAAAATGAAGAAAATTTATTATTGTGTTCTTAAACCTGGTATACGTAATCGTATATTTTCTTATATTGTTATTACTGTACAATATTTAGTACCATTTTTATTTGTATCTATAAGTTGTTATTCTATCAGTCGTTTTCTTAAACGACGTATGATTCGTATGCGTTCGTATCAAAATCAAAAACGATTTATTCAAGATACATCAAAATCTCCTAAAAAAAAATCATTAGATATACCAGATGAAACTGAACAAGAAGCAACAAGTTTAGATGATATATCATCAGCAGCGATAACAAATGATAATAAATCAAATTATTTATTACATTGTTTTCGTCAAACATTTCAACAACGTGAACAATTAAATTATCATCAAAATTCATTAAATTTTGTCGAACAACAACATATGTTAAAATATCAATCACATACAAAACGACGTTTTCATCGAAGTAGAAAATTACTTATATATGTTGCAGCACTTTTTACTATCTCATGGTTACCATTAACAGTTGTACAAATTTATTTAGAACATAACGAAGAAATATTATATAAACGTTATGGACCCAATTTTGTTTATGGTTATTTATTAATACCTTGTTATTTAATCTCATCATTATCAGCATGGATTAATCCAATAATTTATAATTATATTAATCGAAGTTTTCGACGAGAATTTTATTCACTTTATTCTTGTTGTTTTAAAGGATCATCAACAACATCTCGAAAAGAATCAACATCAATTATATTAAAAAGACAACAAACAGGACCAGCTCACAATGGTGGAGTTAATACGACATTATCAACTCGTTTAACACTTAAACAAAATACTCATGGTGTAAGTTTTACTGACCAAACAATTGTCATGATGCATAAACAAACTTAAATTTTCTTCTTTTCTTTGTACAAAAAAAATTGTTGTTTTATCTATACATTTATGTGATTATATATATATATATTTTTTTGTCTTGTTATAAAATTTTAAATATCTAATATTTAATCAGAATACGATGATATCACCACGAACTGTTGCATCATTCTATATACGTATCGGTCATTCGATCAAAGTGAATGTATATTCATTCGTTCTTTGGCCCTATTATTATTATTATCGTGAGTAAGAAAGAAAGAAAAGCATAGTACAAGCTTTGTGAGAATAAGAGTATATGTATAACCATACGGTTCTTTCTCTCAACGATAAGTGAAGCGCAGCGACGACGATATTCTCGCATTCTCGACCATCATCCATCGTTCTTATTCGATTTTTGTGTTGGTCAGTACTATATATATAAGGGTTACGCATTGTATTATATTACGGGTCATTGAGGTGATTTTTTGCCTTTTTCTTTATATACGCGTTATCGTTAAAGCATAGACAATAACGTTCAGTTTGTGTAATTGAACAATGTCTGTGCGCGAACTTTTTTTTCTATTTGGATGGCTTATTACGAATACTTATGGTGAAAGTTTAAGACCACCTTATTTAAATCTTGCTCGGGAAAAACATATAACTGTAGCAGCAACATCAACATGTGGAGAATTTATTGATAAACAAAATCGAAATAAAACAAAATATAAAAAAGAATTATATTGTAAATTAACTGGTTCATCACCTTATGAAAAAGATTATAAGGATTCAAATTTAATCTATGGACAATATTGTGATTATTGTGATCCAAGTGTACCAGATAAAAAACATATTGTTAATTATACAATTGATGGAACAGATCGATGGTGGCAGGTAAAAGAAAATAAATTAAAATCATAATCTTGTATTCTTTTTTTTTTGCTTTTATGTCTAGTCACCACCATTATCACGCGGTCTTGAATATCAAAAAGTGAATATAACAGTAGATCTTGGTCAAGAATATCATATAGCATATATATATATTCGTATGTCAAATTCACCTCGACCAGCTGTGTGGTCATTGGAACGATCAACTGATTATGGAAAGACATTTTCAACATGGTACTATTTTGCTAGTGATGTTGAATGTCGTACAGTATTTGGAGTGCAACCATTCGTCAATCGTTCATTTACACGAGATGATGATGTTGTTTGTGAAACAAAATATGCCAGTCGTATACCATTAGAAGGGTAAATTTAATCTTTTATTGATAAATAAAACAATTGCTATTTCTAGAGGTGAAATGGTCATATCATTAATTAATGATCGACCAAATAGTAAAAACTTCTCCTATAGCGATACTTTACAACAATGGACACGTGCAACAAATGTTCGTTTAAGATTACTTCGACCAACAACATTACATTCTCATTCAATTATTCATGATAGTCATGATAAATCAGTAACAAGAAGATATTTTTATTCCATCAGAGATATTGGTATCGGTGGACATTGTCAATGCAATGGTTAGTTCATAAAAAATTTTATTTTATAAGTTATATCACATTAAAATAAGTAGTTAGGAGTTCGTTTCTATTCGTTAGAAGATACTTATCAATATAGTCATACATCATTTGTCTATTAATCTATAATAAAAATCTTTAGGTCATGCTGAATCATGTGATAAACCTCATTCAAAAAGTCCAAATAAAATGGTTTGTCGTTGTCGACATAATACATGTGGTGATTATTGTCAAGAATGTTGTGAACCATTTGTACAAAAAAAATGGCGTCAATCACGTGATGCTGATGCATTTGAATGTGAACCATGTCAATGTTATGGTCATTCAAGTGAATGTGTTTATGATGAAAAAATTGCTGAAGAAAAATTAAGTATTGATATACATGGAAAATATGAAGGTGGTGGACGTTGTCTTAATTGTCAACATCATACAGAAGGTATCAATTGTGAACGATGTGTACGTGGATATTTTCGAAATTTTACACGGAAAGTTAGTGATGTTGATATGTGTCAATCATGTAAATGTAATTTAAAAGTTTCAACGGGTACTTGTGCAGAAGGCACAGGTAAATGTGAATGTAAACCACAATTTGCTGGATTAGAATGTGATGAGTGTGCAGTTGGATATTTTGATTTTGCTGCTGGATGTAAACCATGTTTATGTTCAATTAATGGTACAGCTGATCATAAATGTTTACCAGATTCTGGTCGTTGTGTATGCAAAATGAATTTTGATGGAGATTATTGTGATCGTTGTGCACCAGGATATTATAATTTTAAAGCTGGCTGTCTTCCATGTGAATGTGAACGTGCTGGTAGTGATGGAAATATTTGTGATACTGAAACTGGGTAAGATTAAATAAAAAAATAAATGACAAAAAAAAATATTATCTTATTTATTTTTAAGACAATGTCCATGTCGATTAAATTATCAAAATCGAACATGTGATACATGTAAAAATGGTCATTATGGTTACCCAGGTTGTTTACCATGTGTATGCAATCATAATGGTATGAATAAAAATTCAAAAATAAATATAAAAAATATTTCCATATTGTTTTGTTAACTAGGTTCAACACCGGAAGTATGTAATAAAGATACAGGTGCTTGTTTATGTAAAGCAAATTTTACTGGACATACCTGTGAACAATGTGCAGCTGGATTCTTCAATCATCCAACATGTGAACCATGTGCTTGTGATTTAACTGGAGTTATATATGATGGTTAGTTTTTTTTAATATTAAAATATTTAGATATAATAATAGTTATATTCTTTTCTTTTCTTAGCATGTGATCAACGTGGTCAATGTCATTGTAAGGCAAATTTTGGTGGACGACAATGTAATCAATGTGCACCTGGTAAAGACAAAAAAAGATGTTTTTTTTTATAAAACTAATATTATTTTTCAAAGGTTATTTTCGTTATCCGGATTGTGTTCCATGTTCATGTGATATGCATGGATCATTAGGTTTAAGTTGTGATCAAACGACAGGACAGTGTGTATGTAAAAGTAATTTTATTGGTGAAAAATGTCAAGAATGTGCACCGGGTATAAAATTTGAAATTTTCTTCTCAATTAATTTTACTTTTTTTTTCTATTTATTTTTAAGGATTATTTAATTTTCCATATTGTGAAGAATGTAAATGTGTTCCAGCTGGTGTACGAAATGATTTTCCTGGTTGTGGTCGACATAATATTCCAGGTGTTTTATGTTTATGTAAACAAAATGTTGAAGGAAGACAATGTGATCGTTGTAAAGAAGGTTTTTGGAATATGAAAACATCAAATCCACTTGGTAAACTGAATTAAGAAAATCTTTATATATTTATTTTGTTTTGCTTCTATAGGATGTGAATCATGTGATTGCTCTGATTCGGGTACAATAGCTCATTTAAATACTTGTGATTCAACAACAGGTCAATGTCCATGTAAATTAACTACACAAAATTCGACTGTACGTTGTGATGTATGTGCTGATGGTTATTATTCATTAGCACGTAATAATGTTTTTGGTTGTGAACCATGTCGATGTTCACTTGGTGGTTCATTACATAGTATATGTGATAAACAAACAGGACAATGTGTTTGTCGCCCATCGATTGTTGGTCGTGAATGTAATCAACCAGCATTAGGACATTTTTTTCCAAGTTTACATCATTTACAATATGAACTTGAAGATGGTTTAACAGTAAAACATCAAACACCTGTTCGTTATGAATTTGATTCAAGTGATTTTGAAAATTTTTCATGGAAAGGTTATGTTAGATATTCATCATTGCAATCCGAAGTACAATTACATATACAATTAATTAAACCAACTGCTTATCGACTTTTAATCCGTTACAAAACATATAATAAAACATCAATGGATAGTAATAATTTAGATTATAAATTACCACAAATAAATGTAAATTTTGCATCAATACGAGAAACAGGTACAGCAGCACCACAAACATTTGATATTGATCTACCACAATCTGATCGTCAAGCAACATTTGCTACGGCTAGTACACTTTTAACAAGTGATGCTGCACCCTACAATGAATATTTATTAACATTAAAAACAACAGATCCAGTTTTAATTGATTATATTGTTTTTGTTCCTATTGATTATATTGAAGCTCAAGCACTTCAACAAACTGATGCATTTGCATATGGTCGTCCATGTGAATTAGATGATGAAGAAGAATGTTATCAATATACTTATCCATTATTAAATGGTATGTCAAGTATAAGTCATCCATCATCAGGTTCAACACCAAATGGTATTGTTATTGATTCTAATCTTCTTGAAGAATTATCAATTGATTCATTAACAACTATTGAACGTGGTCGTGATTATCGTTATGATTGGATTATATCAAAACCAGGTCAATATTATCTGCTTGTTGATTATCATACTATTGATGCTGGAACATCCTATGCTCGAGTTCAAACAATTGATGGAGATATGATGCCTGGATCATTAGTATTAACTGAATGTCCATATACATTTGTATGTCGACAAATGGTAACTACATTAAGTAATGGTGGTAATCAACGTATAAGTAAACCAAAATTAATGACTGTTACTGATACGCGACGTGCAACAGTTATATTAAATGTTGTTCAACAATCTGATCGAAGTAGTCCAATTGGTATACAAAAAATAACTGCTGTACCTATGAATCAATTTAATTATGATCTTCTTCGACCACAATTTATATGTGTACGTGGTACATCAGATGATGGTCCACATGGTTTACCAATATGTAGTGATTCAAATAAACCATTAGGTAGTTCATTAACAGCACCAGTTCAAATTTTTCAAGCTGAAGATTATTATAATGAACATTTAAAAACAACGAATTTTCCAAATGCACCAGAAAATACTGCTGTTGTTCCATTGAGCTTTTCTACACCAAATATCTATGTTTATGGACGTTTAACTGATGTTTATACTAAAACAGAAAATTATCCAGCTTTATTTCAATTTCATATTCATTATTTTCAATCAAAATCCTATTCAATATCGGATACAATTCCATTAACTGTTATTTTCTATAGTCGTACAGGCGATAGTCAAATTGGTGAAATAAATGCACCAATATGTCAACGATTTACACAAGGTGGTTGTTCACAAATAGTTACACTTCAAAATGGTTCAACAGCTATAAGACTTGATGAACCAGAATTTACTGCTTATTTAGCATTAACAAATCCAAATACATCACTACTTATTGATTATATTACAGCTCAAAAAATTGAACCAAATGCAGAAAAAGTTGTAACACCAGTATTAACTACAGCTGATGCTGATCGTGCATCAAAATTTGTTCAAGATTGTATAACAAAATCAGCACCTAATTATGATCCTAAAATTCAACAAGCAAGTTCATTTTGTCGTCAAGCACTTTATTCTTTATCGGCAACATTTAATGATCAAGCATCTCAATGTTTATGTGATGTACGTGGTTCAGTAAATCCAAATGGACAATGTGAACCTTATGGTGGACAATGTTCTTGTAAACCTAATGTTATTGGTCGACGATGTGATCGTTGTCGAACAGGATATTGGGGTTTTCCAAATTGTCGACAATGTACATGTCCAACAAAGATATGTAATGAATTAACAGGTGATTGTATTTGTCCACCAAGAGTTACAGGACGTTATTGTGATCAATGTGCACCACGAACATATGGTTTTGGTAAGTTATTAACATATAGATGTATATAAATATTCTAATATCTTTATCTTTTTTAAAGATCCATTAATTGGTTGTGAAGATTGTCAATGTCGAATTGAAGGTGTTATTAATGGACGTCTTGATTGTGATCTTCGAACAGGTCAATGTCCATGTCGTGAAAATATTGGTTCACGAACATGTGATCGCTGTGCTCCAGGTATATAAATAATTAAATAAAATCAAAAAAAATTTTTTGTATCTATACACATTACAATAGGTCATTATGATTATCCACGTTGTATGAAATGTGATTGTGATACAGCTGGTACACTTGAACCCATATGTGATACATATACAGGTACTTGTTTATGTAAAGAAAATGTTTATGGTCCACGATGTGATCGATGTACGGATAGTACATTTGCTTTATTATCTGATAATCCAAAAGGTTGTACAAATTGTTATTGTTTTGGTTCAACAACACAATGTCATTCAGGTTTATTTAATTATCGTTTTATTCGTAATATGTCTGATTGGTCATTAACACGATCTGATGTACGTTATGATCGACGTGAAACACGTTTAACAATGTTTATGAATTATGATAATAATGATCAATCAGCAATATATTGGTCAGCACCAAGACATTATTTAGGAAACAAAATTCTTTCCTATGGAGGAAATTTAACATTTAAATTAAGTTATACATCAACAACAAATAATTATAATCAAATATTAAATAAACATCCATTAGTTATACTTCGTGGACGTGATTTAACAATTGTTCATTATTATACACGACCAATAGAAGCAAATCGTCCTGAAGAAGATATATCAATTACATTGAAAGAAGCTAATTTTCGTTTTCAAACACGTTCATCAACGGCTGTTACACGTGATACATTTTTACAAACACTTAGTAATATATCAAGTTTACATATTCTTGCATGGCCATATTCAGTTGATTCAACATCAAGTTCAATTGTTGCTGTTCAATTACAACAAGCTGATTTAAAATCAGTCAATAATATATCACCACAACGTCCATTAGCACGTAATATTGAAGTATGTTCATGTCCACCAAATTATGCTGGTACATCATGTGAAACATGTGCACGAGGTTATTTTAAACAATATAGTGGAACAAATGGTGCACATAGTTATACATGTGTACCATGTCAATGTAATGGACAAAGTGATATATGTGATGTTGAAACTGGTCATTGTTTATCATGTCAAAATCATACAATGGGAACATATTGTGAAACTTGTATACCAGGTTATAATGGAGATCCCGTACGAAATATTTCATGTCGTATTTGTTCATGTCCATTACCAATGGAATCAAATAATTTTGCATCAACATGTGAAATGAATGTAACAACAGGTGATACTACAAGATGTTTTTGTCAACAAGGTTATTATGGTGATAGATGTCAATCATGTTATCCAGGTATATATGTCGAATTGATTGAGAAATAAATTTGACTTTATTTTATTTTTCTAGCATTTTGGGGTGAACCAAGTAAAGTTGGTGGTCGATGTTTACCATGTGAATGTAATTCAAATATTGATCCATATGATTGGAATGCTTGTGATCAACAAACAGGACGATGTGTTAATTGTCTAAATAATACAGCTGGACATTCATGTGAACGTTGTCGAGATTGGTTTTATGGTGATGCTATTCGAAC